AATCTTTGACTTGTAGGTAACGAAAGAAGCGCGTTTTTGGCAGTGAACATTTCTCCTTCAGGTGAGTGAAAGTAGCCAAAGTCTTATTGAGATATAGGTCCCCGATGGTGATGATACCCCTATTTGCCCAAAGCAAAAATGTGTTGTCAGACAGTGAGGGGGCAAAGTTATGGTTTCTGTGGAGTGGGGTGTAGGTGGAGATCTTAGGTAGGTTGAATGACTTCCTTATTTGATACCGGATTTTCAAAGAATTTGCAATTATGAAATTCTTCTTGGCAATGGATTTTAGGGGCTGTTCTAAAGAGAAGAGAAGGGCAGGTAAGGAACTAACAGGAAGACTTTGTTCAATAACAAGCCTTGACGGGGTGGAATCAGCGATTTTACCTAGATGTGTATTTTGCCAATACATTAAGGCTCTGCAGTTTGCAGTCCAGTAGAAGTGACAGAAGTTTGGTAGGCTGAGGCTGCTGGCAAATTTGGGTTTGAGAGATATTGGCTGTGTAGAGTGTTTCAGGGAGTAGACCGATTGATATAGAGTGATTAAACATTCTTAACATGAAAGGAGCTATAATGTCACAGTATACTTTGTAAAATTCGATGCAGAATCCATCTGGGCCAGCCGCTTTTCCGTTGGCGAGCTAGTAGTTTATCTGGTTTGTCACCTAGTTCAAAGTGTTTTTGTTTTGTTTTTAATAACATTAAGCTGACACGATCAAAGAGCACAGCATTATATTAAGCCTTTAACTTGATTATTTTGTTAAGTGTAGCTGGTGAGGTGTTTGCCTTGTAATCTCTTTCTAGTGGTCTAAGTTGAGTTGTGACATCTTTGAAACCTTTATCCATGTCTTTTTCTATTTTGGCTTTGTGGGATATGATGTGTCCTCGTATGATGGCTTTAAAGGCCTCCCACAGAGTGGAGTGATTTACATCAGAGGTGTCGTTTTGATGAAAGTATTCTGTTATTTTGCTAGCAGTTTGTTGGTGGAATTGTACGTTCTTAAGTAGTAGAGGGTTGAACCGCCAGTTAAACACAGGCTTGGACCAACCAATATTTATTTTGATTTCGACTGGGCTGTGATCAGAAATTATGATGATATGATATTTGGAGGTGACCACATCCGCAGCCAAAGTGGCATCAGTCAAAAAGTAATCAGTTTTTGTGTACGATTTATGTACTATAGAAAAGAAACAAAATTCCTTGTCCGTTGGATGCTGCAGCCTCCAAAGATCAACGAAGTTCAGTTATTTAATTATGTTATTCAATGCAGTACAGTGATCCCTTGCTATAACGCGGTTTACTTTTCACGGTTTCGCTACTTCACGGATTTGCATCGTGCATTGTGTTCTGCATTCTGATTGGCTAAAAAGTCACTCCGCTTCTTCTCTACCTGTGCGC